TCTCATATTGGGCTCTATTTACTTCACTTCCTGGGCCCACAATTTACATACCAACACCATGTTGCAGACACAAATCTAGAGTATAGAGAATCCAAAACCAATTATAATTTCAATCTTTATAAATATTAATTTACTTAATTATATATACACATATCTAATATTTTAATTACTGAAACATTTATTAAAAATTAAGAATATCATGATGAGGTTGTTTTGTGTTTGTCCCAGCAAAAGCCTCATTAAGTTGGTGCACATTTGCTGAGACGCATACTCCCTTGCGATCCTCAAACAAATCATTGAACTCTAGAAAATAAAATATAAGTGCTGATAAATTCAAATACTAAGATTTGTAATAAACCTTACAAAACTAGAAAAATCATTAATAGAAAAAAAAAAACATTGAAATCCACAATAAATCGATTTAGATGTAATAAACAAATAAAACACAATAAAAAGCTTACAAAATAATTGAATATGTATTTCTTTTTATAGGCTTCATTGGAATGTTTCTCCATTGGTTCTCTCATATTGCCATATATATCAAAGTATGCCCTTGATATTGATACGTCCATTCTGTTTATCCTTCTTAAAATGGCTTTATAAATTAGCACAATCATGATCCAATCTCATATGATGAGTTTTAAATTAATTAGAGATCTAGCGTCTGTTTGGCATCATTGCCGTTGCTCCAAAGAATGGCACCACATCAGTGCCACATCGGAAAAAACGGTGCTCCAGGAAACGGGCATTTGTTTGGAACCGTTTTTTCATAAAAAATGGTGCTCCAAGCCATACCTTGGAAAATGGGAAGGCATGGCTTGGAGCAATGCCAAATTTGGCATTTCCTGAAGCTGCAGCTCGTTGCTGCCAACAGGAATGTGAGGTAGCAGTGATGTGGCACTGGATAATGGGTACCAGTGCCGAAAACATTTCCTGGAGCATTGGTACCAAACAGAAAAGGTTGCTGTTGCTCCAGAAAACATCCTACCTGGCAGCAACAATTCCAAACAAATAAAAGACACCTTCCAACCCACACATCAGCAGTACCGTTTTCAGAAAACGGTGCTGCATTTGCAGCATCAATGCCAAACATATACATAATATCCATGTGTAAAGTTTAAAAGAGCCCTTGAAAACCTTTTTGTTCTTTCTTTTATCCTTTGGTTTAGAAAAATAACATTCATTTATTAAATTTTAATGGAGTGATACACTGATAAATATATGTAGATGTATGCCATTTCTCACAATTAGATACATGCGCTCTCTCTCTCTCTCTGCCATTAGAAATACTATGAATTGAAGCTTTCAAAAAAGTTGTGGATTTAAAGACGTCTTGAATTTTCAATGCTTTGAATCAATATGATTTTGTTTTTAAAATGATAAATTAAGAAATATCATCACGTGCGAGAAACGTGCACATTTACTAGTATATTTCAAAGTGATCAAACATGCAAATAATTTGAAACAAAAATTTGCAAGAAAATATGCTTTTTTCTCAAGTTGCATTTAAACCCACTTTGAGCTTTAAAAAACTAAAATTTTAACCATTTTCCTTGCTTAAGTCTAAGTCTTCTAGTTGTATGGAGTTCTCCCATAAAGTTCCAAAGCAAAAGAAGGCTTTAGGTGGTGTTAGAATATGCTGCTAATATCACACTGTATCCACCAATACTATCACAATATTCATCAACATTGTGCAACACACTACAATATTGATAAAAATAAAAACAAAAATTTCCAACCATGTGGCAATAAGTGTAAAAACTGATATATGTCGTATGATATTTTATTGACACTTAAGACCTTGGGATTTAAAGCTGTGTTTGGTTTGAAAGACAAGGTAGGGAAAGAAAGGGAAAAGTAGAGATTGTATAGATTTCCTTTTCCTACCTTTTCTTTCAAACCAAACATAGCCTTAAGTATTGGTGCCGGATCATATTGGTCAATACAAATTGGATTACAAGGTTATGAGCACCTGATATGGGTGGAATTACATGGTTTCACTGCCATATTCCACCTATATCCCTGAGTATTGGATGAAGGCTGATACACCCGTGTACACAAACCTGAACTGATCAAATACCAACGATATTCTACTTCTCATTCTAAATTACTCGTTAACTCTACTCTCACTTCATTATCTCTTAATTTGAATTTTGAATTCAAACAATTCATGATTTAGGTGGCGTTTGATAAATCTGATATCTAAAAAGTTAAAAGGATATTAATGGCGTTTGAAATCTGAAAAGAGACATAGATGCTTTTCGACTTTTTTGAGGCTCTGAGTGGAGAAGGTTATTTGTGTTGGATCAAACCTTCAGCATCTGAAATTCCTTAGTTTTACTATTTTACCCCTAAAACATACTTTATGGTAATTTTAAGTTCAATTTGTACTATTTTTCTAAATATAATTTATTAAATTCAAAATATTATTATTGAAAAATATGAACAAACTATGATAAATTATAAAAATATTAAATTAAGAATAAAATTGAAAATATATGAAAAATTATAAATTAAAAATAAATTATTAAAAGTTAAAATAATAATAAAAATAGTAATAAAGTCCAAGAATCAATGAACAAATACTTAATATTTATCAAATTATTAAATTAAACCTATTAAACTATTTATTAATTAAATAATTAAAATAATTATTAATTAATACAAATAAAAATTATAAAAAAATAATGTATTAAAATAAGAATAAAATTGGAAATATGTATAAATTTATAAATTAAAAAACTAAGAATTAAAACAATAGTAAATTATTAAGAACAAAATTCGAATGTCGTTGGTGAGAGTTGTAGTGGCAGTGGTGGGAAGACAAGGGGAGAGAGAGAGAGAGGGAGAGGGAACTTGAATGCCGTTGTTGAGAGTTGCAGCGGCAGTGATGAAAAGAGAAGGGGGGAGAGAGAGAGAGAGGAAAGGAGAGGGAGAGGGAAACACCGTTGTTGAGAGTTGCAACGGTAGTGGTGGGAAGACAAGGGAGAGAGAGAGAGAGAGAGAGAGGGAGAGGGTATGGGAAATCGAACGCCGCTGCAAAGAGTTGCAGCGGCAATGGTGAGAATATAGGGAGAGAGAGAGAGAGGGAGAGGGAAACACCGCTTCTGAAAGTTGCAACAGTGGTGCCTGGAAGACAAGGGGAGAGTGAGGAAGAGGATGAGAAAAATCGAGGATGGACATTTTTGTCTTTTAACACAGTCTAAAAAACGTTTGAGCGCATTAAGTCATTGGCCTGCCTCTTACAAATTCAAATCTAAAAATGCATTTCAGATATGAATTTTCAAACTCAACCCAAACATAGGTGGCATCTAAAAAGCAACATTTTTAGACTTCAGAGGTCTAAAAAGTGTTATCATACGCCACCTTAGTCCATTCTCATTAAATGACCTAATCAGTTCTCCTGATAATATAATTGTCACACCATTAACTTGTACATTCAAGTCTCCTAATTAAATTCAAATAACTTAAAACTGATTATTATTTAAAACACATCTTTACTTTTCTAGCATTCTCTTAAATAATCTTGCAAATGCAATAGGTTTTGACAGATATCAAACAAGGGGTCCCGATATCTGTTAAATTCTGAAGAGATTAGATCTGTTTTATTTTCTATTGGCCCTTCAAAAGCACCATGCCCAGATGGTATACATGCCTTTGTTTATCAGAAATGTTGGCATATTATTGGTGGTGAACTTATTTCATTTATTCAAGATTTGCTTTTGGAATCCAAGTAAAACCAAAGAAATCAACCAAACTACTATTTGCTTGATTCCAAAGGTTCAAACAGTAGAAGAGGCTAAGGATTTTAGACCCATTGGGTTAAGTAATGTCCTCTACAAGATTATCGCTAAGTTGTTGACCAAGAGGCTGAAACATAATATTCCGTCTCTCGTCTCCCCCTATCAATCAGCTTTTACTTCGGGTAGACAAATTTTAGATAATTCTATCATTTGCCAAGAACTCATTCATACATTGAAGAGACAAGGGTAAAACTTGCTATTTTATGCTAAATTTAGATCTTAGTAAGGCGTATGATAGAATGGAACAACTGTTTTTTATGACTATACTATAGAGTCTGGGTTTTACTAATCACTTTTGTTCCTTGATTTTTCATTGTATTTCTACTCCCAATCTTGCTATGATGGTTAATGGGCAACTTGGTGATTTTTTGCTCCTTCTCGAAGACTAAGACAAGGTTGTCCACTATCACCTTACTTGTTCATTCTAGGAGCTGAGGTTCTCTCTCATCTACTTCAAAGAAAACTAGATTCTAGAGAGTTACATGGCATTCATTTTGGTAGAACCGGTATGCATCTAAACCACCTCTTTGCTGATAGATTTATTAATTTTTGGTAAATGTTCCCTTCCTGAAGTTGATTGCATTAAAAATCAATTGGACACTTTAAGTGGTTAGGGCAAGAAGTTAACTTTCAAAAGTCAGCCATCTACTTCAGCCCAAACACACACAAACGCATGAGATTGAGAATTGCTTCAAATCTTGGGGTTAGAGTTATGGGCTCAGCCAAGAAATATTGGTGGCCTAATTTTTGTTGATAGATCCAAAAGTATTAGGTGGAAATTTCTTGTTGATAAAGTCAAAAGCAAACTTCAAAGTTGGAAAGCAAATACTCTTTCACAAGCTAGGCATGGGCTTCCAAGAAAAATGTAAGCTTTATGTTAAGTCAGTCAATACCCATCTTTCCATTGAGTCCAAATCTGCTCTTCACAGAGCGTTCGAAAGAAAAATGTACACTTTAGGGTCATTGATTATGACCGGTTGCACAATGTTGGGATATGCTGTGAGGTGAGTTCTATGAGGAGCAAATCCCGATTCCTTTTCACCATTATTGCACACCTACTATTATTATTTCAAATTGATCCTAGCATTTAGCATATCACTCGGTTTAAAATCCTAAACGGTACACATTGTTTAGCATTTACCATAAAGGAAACTTTAACAAACAGATTCAGATGCACTTTGAAAACGCATGGGTACATAAAAATTGGGTTGAACAATTGAATAAACAACAATTTTCTTATCTTGTGACCAAGTTTGACAGATGAAGTATCACTAATGAAAACTTTTAGAGTACAGAACAAACAATAGATGCTATAAGAATACATGCCTATCCATTGCATACACCTCTTTCCCACTCCCTCTACTTCTCTCAAGCAAAAGGGACCATTATTCACTTTACGGCATCTCTTTAGTCTTAACCATCCAACTTGAAACAAAAACCCTTTCTAAAGGGAGTTGGTCAATTCTTATCAAACAAAATGAGGATCAACTCAAGACACTCAAGTGCAAGCTCAGTGCAACCTGGCGCCTATCAACCCAAGTCAAGCACCATGTTGGCTAGAGTTTCTGCATACATAATGGGTTGTGTCCAGTATGGAGAGCATGCAGGACCCTTTTCCCTGTTCGAGTAGATGGGATTTGAGTTTGACATTGTGATATCCATGCCTGCAAACACTACTAACATTTCAATTTACCATTTTTTCTTGGCATTTGAGAGGGGTTGAAAATTGTAATGCCCAATATGGTGAGAAATTTCAGCTCAAAGCAAGTATAAAGTTAAATACTTTTATATAAAGGAAACTGCTCAAAATTGAAATATCTCACCTAAGAGAAACAATTTTCTCCTTCCTAGGATCGAATATGGAGTTAGACCACATTATTTCAGACCCATAGAAGGTTAGTGAAAGAATACCTCAAAGTGGTGGAAAATGTCACCACAAATGTAGCACCAGATGTGAAGTTCACATTCAAGTCTTCTTGAGGTTCTCACTAATTTGATGTGAAGGGTGAAGATGACACAGCCTCCACTCGGTCTAGTTTTATTCTCCTCTTGAAACCAACAACTATGAGCCCGTTTGGCAAATCTTTTTGGGAAGATCTTTTGGTAGCTCTGACATTCAAAAGACACATTGAGCTATTGCATGAAGATCTGAGTAACCCGAATCTAGTTTAGCAGATATGTCTTTTCGTGCGTCTTTCTGTTTCTTTCCGTGCGAGAATAAAATGCAAAAGATGCGAAAAGCTTCATTTGGAGCTTCCTGAAATCAGCCCAAAATGGGCTTCTCGCGTCTTTTCGACACTCCAACTTTTGGCAGCTAGATCTTCCATGAATCAAACGGGAATAGACCGAAAATCGGTCTGCCCGACTTGTAAACAGCAGAAAGATTGCACGGAAAAACACGCCAAACAGGCCCTATTTTTTTTACTCCTTTTAATGTTGATTGGGTCACCAAAAGACAGCAACACAGTGGTCTAGGATAGCTTGCAATAGTGGAAGAAGATGGAGTTCTAAAACCCTAGTTCAAATCTAGTGAGAAGGGATGGTTTCTATGGCTGAATGGTAGAGTTTGTGAACTCTTGTTGGAGTACTAGGGCTAGACGAATTCTAGACTCTATAATCTCCAAAAGAGTCCAATTAATTGCTAAAAGACTTTCCTAATCAAATTAGATAAGGTCTCTCAATTAGCAAGACTCGTATTCAGCCTACTCCTTGACTAGTCAAACTGGTTAACTTCTAATCAAATTAGAATTCCTTCAAAATAATAACTAACAATTCTAAAGACTTTCTAATTGTTTCAAGCGAAGAGTGAGAAGACAATACTTGTGATGTTTGGGACCCACAAGCTATTAATCTAGATCAAATAATATTCATTCCTCTCTAAGAAGAGATGGAACCCACCTAGGTGAATTTCACTCCCTTCACAAATGAGAAGATTTGGCCTTAAATTAAGCCCATTTATGTCTAACACAGTCCAAGTCTGTGACCCTAAGAACTTGGGTCCAATGGTCTGAACTGAAATAATATCCATCAAGTAAAAAGGCCTTAATGCATATTTTCTATATAGTCTCTCTACCAATAATATCTAACATTGGGAATTGAGAAAGGACCTCTTCCCATAATCTCTAAGCCCAGTATCACACTCTCTTTAATGATGGGACATGGAAAAATTACTTTGCACATAATTTTCAAAATAAACTATTTACTTATATAATAATGATTTTGCGAATTGGTTTGAAAACAATTTAAAATCCACTATCAGTAGATTTACGGTTTCCATCAAATAGAGTATGTCAAGAATATTTTCTTTGTCTAACAAAGTGGTAGATCCTATTACAATGATCATTAGCCCAAATATAATCCTTCCAACATACCTAAGTATTGACCCCAGAAGGACCTTGCTGGCATAGTTTTCAAGGCGCCAAGGCGAGGCTAGGCGACAGGGGGGTGCCTTGTTGCCTAGTTGCCTAGGTGGATTTTTTTAAGTGAAAAATGCATATCCTAGGTAGTTCCCTAGGTTTCATAACCATCTTTCCATAATAACTATCCATAATTTTCATAAGAAAATTATAAACTTTATGTTTATGTCTAGAAAATCGACATATTTATGAGAAGAAAAATAAGAAAAGAAAATTCAATAAATATGGGGACTGAACCCTTATTTTTGTTATAGGAAAAGAAGAAAAGAAAAGGTGGAAGAAGAAGAAGAAGATGTGGAGGAAGAAATGTGTTGATTAGACAACTTCAAGTTTTCCCCTTACTTATTGGTTCAAATTCTGAAGTTTTTGAGGGTTCAATAAAGTAGTTAGCAATATTTGTGTTGATTAAACCCTAACAAATAAGAAAATAATAAAAAGAAATTAGTTTATAAACACAAAAAATGAATATTTTTGTTTAATAATGTCTATTTTATAATTATAATCTCAAAAAAAGTAACAATATAAAAGTATTTTATAAGACAGTATACAAAACTGCTAGGCAAATGGGCGAGGCGAGCCTCCAAGGGCACCTTGTCACCTAGGCATTGCCTTGACAACTATGCTTACTGGTTGGTATATCAAAAGCAAAGCAGTTGAATAACTGACATAGTACTATTATCAAGTTTAGGACTACAAACAATAATCTAATTGATCAACTAATTGAAAAGGTCCAAGAGCACATTGGAAATAATCCGGTTCAATGTTTCATAAACACCCATACTTAAGCGGTATAGGTCATGTTAGCCTTATCATGATAAACTGCTCAAGTTTATTCTCTATCCAAAAATATTTAGACAACATACCTGTTGTGAATCTTATTTATTGGTTCTCTGCTAGTATGCTGTCAGCCTAGTCTACCTAGGTTCTGTCAGCTAGTTTTCTTTTTTTTCTTGTCAGTTGTTTATTATTAGGAATTTCCGCCAGTGGCATTCTTGTAACTTCTGTTCTTATTATTTTAAGTGAATATAAATAATAAGCTGGAAGCCGCCAGCCCTTAGTTTTTTCTAGTCTAAATCGAACCTCTCTCTCTCTCTTCACTTCTCTCTCTCTCTCTCTCTCTCTCTCTCTCTCTCTCTCTCTCTCAGGAAGGAACACATGGTATCAGAGCAATAATTCTAGGCTTGAAAATTGTTTTTCTCTCATCTGAATCTCAGTCATTTTTTGTTCTCTTGATCTCTTGGATGTGGAAGACCAAGAATTCTAATCGGACTGTTCAGAGTTCTTGTGGCTGTTGTTCTTTGGGTTCTTCCTTGGTCGTAACACCAAGGAAATCCTAACAGAAGAGGGGCGATGCTGGAATGATTCTCCTCTCTTAGTTCGATGCTGTGAAAAATATTTTCTGGGTTTGCACCTTCGTACAGGTGCTGCACAGGGGTATGTGTCCCCTTTTTTCTCTGTGGTCTATGCTGTGAAGGGCTGTGAAGGCCTTGGTTTTGAGGTTTACACCTTCGTACAGGTGCTGGACAGGGGTATGTTTCTTTTAATCATGTGCTGTTGTCGAAGGCTCTTTTTTTAATGACTGCTTGTGGCAGAACTATTGCTGTTAGTAGACTGTTTTCAGTAGCCTGTTAGTAGACTAGTTGCTGGACTGATTACTGGGCTATTCTAAGGGCCAAACTGTTGCTGAACTGATTTCAGCAGTATCTTTCTCATTCCAGAAGTGAAAATTCTTAAGAGTTTAGCATTCTGTGTGTGTGGGATCTGGTCTGGTATATTTGTGACCCTTTTTTTCTCAATGGCAAACTATGATTCAGCATCATCTGGAGTTACACCAACTCGTAGTACAGCTGGTATGGGGGGTGAAGACATGATGTTTCCCATGCCAATTACCCCTTTAAATGGCCTGAACTACTTGGAGTGGGCTAAAAGTGTGAAACTTTATGTAATAACAAGGGGAAAAGCTGGTTACATAAATAGCAGAGTGAAAGAACTCAAGTGTGAGACAGTTGAACATGATAGGTGGGATCAAGAAAACAGTATGGTGATGTCTTGGCTCCTTGTAGCCATGAAACCTGATGTGAAGAAGAACTTTATGTGGGCCGCTAGTGAGATTTGGGAACAAGAAAAAACCACCTATTCAGAGTGAAGGCATTATGTCAAGATTTACCAGTTGCAAGTTGAATCCTCAACTTGTAAACAGAGAAATCGTAGTTTGTCTGCCTATTATTCAGCCTTACTTCCGTCTGGAAAAAATTGGATCATCATCAGGCTATAGAGTGGAAACATGATGATGATGCTAAGGCCTATAGGAAGCCGGTTTCTTAGCAGTGGGTGTTTGCTTTCTTGTTGGAACTGAACCCTACCTATGAACCCTTGAAAGTTTAAGTCTTAGGAAGCAAAGAGTTGTCGTCGGTTCAAGTGGTATATGCCCTTGTTCAATCTAAAGAAAGTAGGCAGAGTGTGATGGTTACAACTAAGGGGGAGCAACAAGTAGCATTGGCTGCAATGAGTAATAACAATATGAGGAAGAAAAGTGACTCCAAGAAGGCTGATGATAAAGACGTTTTGTACCCATTGTCGGCGCTCGCGACATACACGTGACACATGTTGGAAAATTCACGGGAAGCTTAAGTGGGCAGTGAAAAACCAAGAATAGGGTAAAGTGCAAGGTTAGAAGAAGCCGAATACAACACATAATGCAACACATGTGGCAACCCAAGATACTCAGGTTGCTGGTACTACCCGGGAATACAGCACATAAAGCAACACATGTGGCAACCCAAGATACTCAGGTTGCTGGTACTACCCGGGACCACTTTACTAGTTCTGACCCCAAGGAAGATATCATGAACTCTTTCAGAGATCACTTGGAGTTAGATGGATAGTTCAGTTACTGGTACTCCTACTTCATTTACATCTACAACAGGTAATGCGGCTTTTGCATTCCATGTCACTACTACCATCGATTCCCCTTGAATCATTAACTCAGGGGCCTCTAACTACATGACTGGTAAGCCAAATTTGTTTCAGGCTTATAGCTTTTTGTTAGGAAGGGATAAAGTGAGGCTTGCAGATGGATCATTCTCCTCCACTGCAGGCCAATGATCAATATCCCTTCCCCATGGCCTTAACCTAAATAATGTGTTGCATGTTCCCCAACTTCTTATAAATTTGCTTTCAATCAGTAGCATCACAAACTCTTTAAGCTATAGTGTAACCTTTCCTGGTTCATGTGTTTTTCAAGATCTAACTTCTAAGAGGACAATTGGTAGAGGAAGCCTAATGGATGGCCTCTATATTCTCAACAACAAAGCTGGTCTCTTGGTGTCGTTCTCGAAGTCATATAATCAGTCAAATAAGAGTCAAATTTTTTTGTGGCATAGTCGGTTAGGTCATGTTTCCTTTGAAATAGTGAAGTCTTTGTTTCCATTTTTATTTAAGTCATGTTCAGTGTCAAACATGTCAGTTGAGCAAACAATGTAGAACAACTTTTCATTCAAGTAATAAAAGACCCAACTTTCCTTTTCATATCGTGTATTTTGATGTATGGGGGCCTACTACTATAATCTCTGAGGGCGGGTATAAGTACTTTATCACTTTGATCAATGATTTCTCCCACTATACATGGGTATTCCCGATGCGTAGTAGAGATGAAGTTTCAAAGATTGTAAAAGATTTCCAGAGGATGGTGTTTACGTAGTTCCACGTTAAAATATAGATCTTTCAATCAGATAATGCCAAGGAATATTTCCATGGTAAGTTGAATGAGTTCTTTGCCTCCCAGGGATCTATTCATAGGAGCTTGTGCGCAAGAACACCGCAACAAAATGGTGTTGCCAAAAGGATGCTATATTTCGAGGGATGATGTTACACATGAATGTTCCAAAAAGGTTTTGGATGGATGCTATACTTGCAACTACTTATGTCATCAATCGCATGCCCTCCATAGTGCTGAACTACATGGCCCCTTATCAATTGTTGTTCTCTCAGTCCCCTTTATTTTCCATTCCCATGAGTCTTTGGTTGTCATGCCTTTGTCCATGATTTGTCTCCGTCTCGGGGTAAGTTAGACCCTCGGTCCATTCCTTGTATTTTTCTGGGGTATCCCTCCTTTCAAAAGGGGTATCGAGGCTTTGATCCTATTAGTCATAAATTTTTTGTCTCTATGAATGTGTCCTTCTTTGAGTCTGAACTGTTCTTCCCTGCTTCTCAGGGGAAGAGTAGTGTGGAAGAGGAGAAGCAGGTTCAGGTCAACCAAGTCTCTCTTCCATCTATTCCGGACCTGACCCCCTTTTGTGTCTTCCAACGTACATGTTGTAGAGATCAGCAATTTGACAGAGATGTGAAACTACCAACAACTGAGCATCCAACATTGTCAAACACCCAAGAAGTAAGTCCAAACCCTGCTACACCTATTGACACCCCTGCTCCTACTATGGATGACCTTCACATTCCTATTGCTCAAAGAAAGGGAGTCAGATCATGGACTACCAAACACCTCATCACCCAGTATGTCTCCTATGATCACATTTCCCCCTCATATCGAGCCTTCCTATCTGAAGTTGATTGCATCCTTGTACCTAGAAATGTTGTAGAAGCCTTAAAATACCCTGAATGGACAGATGCTATGAAGGAGGAGATTAATGCCCTCCATAAAAATCAAACTTGGCAATTGGTGAATCTTCCAAGGGGGAAAGACCCATTGGGGTGTAAGTGGGTGTTTACAGTTAAACACAAGGCAGATGGGACAGTTGAAAGGTACAAAGCAAGATTAGTAGCCAAGGGGTGCACTCATGTGTACGAAGTTGACTATGATGAGACATTTGCTCCAATAGCTAAGATGAACTCAATTCGAGTTCTTCTATCATTAGCCGCTAATCTTGACAGGGAATTGCATCAACTAGACATTAAGAATGCCTTTTTAAATGGTGGCCTAGAGGAGGTGTACATGGTTCAACCCCCGAGATTCTATGCGAAGGAAAGTGAAAATAAGGTGTGTAAGCTAAGAAAGTCTCTCTATGGTTTGAAACAATCTCCCAGGGCTTGGTTCAGTAAGTTTCGTATAGCAGTTCAACAAGTAGGGTTCAAGCAATGTCAGTCCGATTACACTCTTTGTGAAGAGATGTTAGGAACAGGTTGTTGTTTTGATAGTGTATGTGGATGATATCATCATTACAGGAAATTGGAGTTCAGAAATACAAMAATTGAAACAATTCCTTGCATCTAAATTTGAAATGAAAGATCTAGGTCCTCTAAAGTATTTTCTTGGAATTGAAGTTGCCCGCTCAAAAAGGGGTATCTTCATTTCTCAAAGGAAGTATACTCTTGATCTGTTACAAGACATAGACAAGTTAGGTGCAAGGCCAGCAGATACTCCTATGGATGTTGATCATAAATTGGGTAACTGTGATGGTAAACTTCTGAAAGATGTAAAATAGTTCCAAAGGTTAGTGGGGAAGTTGATTTATTTGTCCATGACTCGTCTAGACATTGCCTATTCAATTGGGGTCCTGAGCCAATTCATGCACTCTCCTAAGAAACCTCACTTGGAGGCAGCAAAGAGAGTTCTTAGAGACTTAAAAAGTATCTAAGAACAGGTCTACTATTCAGTAAGCATAATCATCTAAAGGTGGAAGTCTTTACAGATGTTGATTGGGCAGGTATTGTGGATGACAGAAAGTCCATAAGTGGGTATTGCATATTTGTGGGAGGAAACCTAGTGACTTAGAAAAGCAAGAAACAAAGTGTGGTAGCAATGTCAAGTGCTGAAGCAAAGTATAGAGCTATGGCACATGGGGTGGCTGAAGTTCTTTGGCTAAAAAAATCTTCGAGGGGAGCTTGGAGTTGTTGTTCACAATCCAATGTCTCTTTATTGTGACAACAAGGCAGCCATTAACACCGCCAGCAATCCTGTCCTACATGAGATGACCAAGCACATTGAAGTGGACAAACACTTCATAAGGGAAAAATTGGAAAAAAAAAGGAAATTTGCATCCCTTATGTCAACTCCAAGGAACAATTTGCTGATGTCCTCACAAAAGGACTTCCATACTCGCGGCACAATGAGTTGTGTGACAAGTTGGGAATGATAGACATATACAACCCAACTTGAGGGGGAGTGTTGTGAATCTTATTTATCAGTTCTCTATTAGTATGTTGTTAGTATGCTGTCAGCCTAGTCTACCTAGGTGGTCAGCTAGCTTTCTTTTTTTCTTGTTAGTTGTTTATTATTAGGAATTGCCGCTAGGGGCATTCTTGTAACTTTTGTTCTTATTATTTTAAATGAATATAAATAATAATCTGGAAGCCACTAGCCCTTAGTTTTTGAGTCTCAATCGAACCTTTCTCTCTCTCTCTCTTCTCTTCTCCTCTCTCTTCTCTTCTCTCTCTCTCAAGAAGGAACACAATACCAATTAGAAACCTACCCAATTACATATTTAAAAACCAATTAACTTAACTTTTATTCATAACAAAGACGATCTAATCATGTATTGGACCCTGAGGGCATAGACTGTCTAACAAAAAGTTTACCAAACTGACACAATGCTCTTTTATCAAACTTGTAACTAGCACTGTAAGACAAATTGAATAGCCCATTTGGGAGGACTTTCATATGACAGCTCTTGGCTTTGCAATGTGGACCCCACACAAAAATCCTAGAAGCTATGTTTGGTGAAAAAAGCCCAAAAAAGTCTAAATACACTTTAATTCAGCTAATAAAGCTAAGTTTGCTGAAGTCCTCCCAAATGGGCTCTGAATTTGCTAGGAAAAAGGTGCTCCAGTAAAAGGTTATTAATTTAATTTAAACATCAAGTAAAAGGAGAAATATTGAAAAACAAGTAATGTTGATCAATATAATAAGCCACATTGCTGACTGACTATACATAAGCACAAATGAGGTTGAAGATTCCAAAAACCTTATCAATAAATGCTGGATGGTGAGGCTCGCTGCTTGAGAAAACTCTAGCTTGCACTGAAAAATAGCATCACCTTTGCTTCAAAACACAACGGAACATCTGATATTGGATTTTTTTTTATATTGAATGGTAATATAGCAATTCCTCGTATGATCAAGATGCCAAGATCTTGAGTAGCTCAAACATTGCAAAGCAAGACACTTCACAACCTCCTGAACATGCCAATAAAGAAAGCTAATGCAGCCCCAGCAACTCCTTAACTCTTTCAATTCCACTGCACATGAAATAAATACAAATTTGTTCTTTCCATTGTGATATGATAAATTCAAACTTGCTCAATGTTTGAAAAAATGTTAAAAGTCTTGGCTCAGCCAAGACTGAGTTGATGGAGTTTTAGAATAGATGGTATCAATATGAATTTATTGAAGCCTACCCAATAAAGGTAGATACAAAAAATTTCCAAAATTAGAGGTGCTAGGCAAATATAAAAACAATACCTCTTTGGAAAGGAAGGTATTAGCTCTTCAACAACTCGAACAAGACTCAGTTCCATATCGTCCTCGGAGGAAACTAGCATTTCTTCAGAAACTGCATAACCCAAAAAGAAAATGCACATGACCCAAAAAGATTATCTTTCTTTTTAACTTAGATAGGAAACATAACCATCTGCTTTCTGGACCACAAGAGGCAGCAGATAGGAAGTCTGCTTCATTCATCATATCTCAACAATATCACACCGAAAATGATTCTAACCATACAGCTTACAAACAGAGGGATCAAACATATAAGATCCACGGACTAAATTAATCTAAGTCTTTGAAATTCATAGTTAAGACAAATTGGTAGGGCATTAAATGGTTCAGATCTGAAGCAGATCCACAAAATCCAGTCCACATCCAAATTGGAAAATCAGAATAAAATAGAGATCATATCTGATGATCCATATCTCCTAAATATGGTATGGAGTGGGACAGATCTTGCATCTAACCTGCTTGATTTCATGCCCTATAGATAAATCCTAAAGTCAGTGCCCCCTCCCCCCACAGAATCTGAGGTGCAAGCAATAAGCCATAAGACATTCTTTAAAGTTCAACACTGGAGTTCCTTCAATTTCCTCTTGTGAGAAAAAAATAAATACAGCAATAACTATAGTTTAAGAAATTGATTTAACAGATAGCAAGAAACAGGAAAAGATACTACTAAAAGTTCTACAGGATGGACTCTCAGACGGACTGAAGTGTACAACAGCAGTGTGAGTCCTTATTCCTGGAGAGGAAGAGAACCAGGAATAACGTTTATGCAGAGGAAGAGACCTGGTACAATTTGGCAATGTAGTGGCCCAGTGGCTCTAGCTTTCAGGATGTTCTCGTACATTTCATTGCTTAGAGTCCTTGTATAACTCACCTTCTAGATCTAGGATAATAGGGTGGTATTGAAGTACACTATGACTTTACCCTGTTAGATATTTTATGCCCTTAGCTCCAATCAGATTGAAGTACATAAACATTTATCTGTAAATGAATAAAGTACATTATTGTTTCATGTTAATGATTGTATGTTTTCTATGAATTACCCCTTAAAGTGGACACTTATGAGACTCGTGTTAGTTTATAATGTTCTTAACCATTGGATAAACTTGGAGAGTTTATCTTGACAAGGCTGACACTGGTGTGCTGCCAAATAGTTGGAGCAACTTGTCTCATCCAACATACCCTTCCTTGTTCCATTCTCCCTAGCCTACAAGAAATTTCTTATGTGCCAATCACTACCAAAACAAAATAGATGAAGTTGTAGCCAAGCTGTCTTTCACTTTCACAAATGGTGAATTCTTGCTTATCATTTCAATTTCTAATATGTTATTCCTATTCTTTTTCCTCCAACTATAACTGTTTTTATACAGCCTCCTTAACTTTATTTTCCTTTCTATTTTACAAATCATCTCAATAGTTGGTCTTCCAAAGTAAAAAAAGGGCAGCCCAGTCCATGAGGCTCCCACCAATGCGGGGTCTGGGGAGGGGCAGATATATGCAGCCTTACCCCTGCAGATACAGAGAAGCTGTTTCAAGATTTGGACCCTGGTTACCCAGGTCATAATGGAGCAACCCAATCATTGCACCAAGGCCCACCCTCTGGTCTTCCAAAGTAGGTCCCTTATATTTCCCATTCTTAGTATCTGAATTTTTGAATTACAAAATCATTTTAAGAAGAACATGCCAATGTTACATTTAACAAGTAATCTAAATTTGCTAAGGTAGTTAAGATATAGTAAGGGGTCCATGTTCATATGGCCAGCCCATGCCTTAATCAGGACAATTCAGCAAGAAGGCCACCTATTTGATTTTACATATCATAAACTAAGATCAGATGACTCTAAGATTACTGATAGTCCAATGTATCAATTCACCTTCAATCTAATAAAAGCTACCTTTGTTTTACTGTCCAACTTCTTTCTCATAAATATAGGTAAGTTATCATAGTGGTTTCTGGGTTGTGGTCCATTTGCAGATCAACACAAAAAATTCATATTAATAGCATAGCATCAAATGATACTACTTCCTGTGTCCATCAAAGCAAAAAAAAAATAAAATAAAATAAAAATAACTAGGCCTCTATGCTTGCTGTATAGGTAAATTCTTAGTAAAAAATAATGCTTTTTTAATACCTTGGGAATCTGCTGGAATGAAATCTCCTCCTCTCAGATATGCTCTCTTACTCCAATCCAAATTTACATCTTGTATCTGTGAAAATTCATCCAGTAAATGACCAATGAGTTTATAGGCAAGCAAACTTGTCTGATCAGAAATTTCTTGGATAGCCAAGTATTTGTTTTCAGTCATGTTCTGCATCTCATTCAGACAATTCAACTCCTGGTTGGAAGAGGAAGAACAGACTTCGTGCAGGTCTGCAGAATTAAATTTAGGAAGATGCTCCGGCTCAGATCCCCTAGTTGATCCATTATTTGAGTTTCTATTGAACAGTGAGAATTGGACAGTTCCATCTAGAACAGCTGAAGTTGTAGGTATAGTGCAATCGATCTCTCTTGATTCCCCAATGCCCTCAGCTTGGCCTTTTGTATCATTTGAATAGAATTGGTTTATTTTCATTTCACTGGGATATTGCTGCTCATTATCATCATAACCATCTGTATCACTTTCTTCTAACTCCTCCATATATGCATCAGAAAATTCTTGATCAAATTCATGGTCAGGCAACAAGTCCCATATAATCTGTCTAGTCTGACTGCTCACACTTGATACACATTCTATCTCTTCTTCTATTTCCTCCTTTGAAAAATGCATATGCACTGTGCTTCTACTACTCTTATTGATAATATCAAGAGTTTCTAGTAATGGCTTTGGGATGACATCCATATCACTACAATCAAAAAGATACTCAATCAGCATTTTCCTAATACCTGTCCGCAAAGACCGATTTGGAGATTCTGCCTTTGGGTCCAGCAAAAGTAACATTTCATTCAACTCTGATGACTTGACTCTTTTAGTCATCCATATGGCATTTAGAATCTCTCTCTGCAAGGCTTCTATTTCTGGTGAGAACTGGCAAAACTTCATTATAGAGGAATCCTGACACCTTGTTGTCAGCTTAAATGATAAGTCTGCAACAGCCATGGCTTTAGCTAACGGCCCCTGAAGTTCATCAGCTTCACCAAGTTCAGAAAGCATTTTGTTAGATATCTTCCTCACTTGTTCAATCAAGCGTTCTCGGCTCCACCCGGATTTTGGAGGCTTCAATTGGGGGATACCACCTTGAATTCCTCTAAGTTTCCTACGCATTGCACTCAATGCCTGGAAAGGCATGTCCTCAAGCCCCTCCAGTACCTTAGTAGCAGCAGTGCGAGAAGATTGGGACAAGGGTTCCATATGTCTCAATTTCTTCTGAAAATTATGTGGATCCTTCAAAACTTGAGATAGCTTTTTTATCACTTCCATATTATAAACCTTACAGCTTTTATTTCTGAGTATCTTTCGGAGATATTCTTTAATGACCCTTTTCATCCTCCAACGAGTTTTCTCAAATTTGACCGTACTTCCAGTTACTATATTGGCTAAAAGGCAAAGTGCATTGTTGTTCAAGTCGTCAAGCATAGAAAAAACAATCAGCACCATATTGGCAGGCATCATATTGGTGTCGAAGAGTTGCAAATGTTCCTGAGCTACATCATGCACTCTTTCTTCACCAAATACTTCAAAGCCTCTTTCAATACATGTTTTTACAGAATCAAAGGAAACCTGAAAAAGCAGAACCTGTGTTACAATTGCAAATGTAAAGAAGTCCAACTATTGTACTGAAAAAGGTATGGAACCTAAATAACTGATAACCAATCAACCAGTCCAATGGGTAACCAATTATATGGTATTCATTCAAATACATGTTGAACTTTGATTGGTTAAAGTTTCAGGCATCATAACTTTCCACTGCCATAGAAATTGCCTGAAAAGAAAGCTCCAAATGAGCAGTAGACCTCTAGCAGTTAACTGATAACCAATCAACTGGTATCATCCAATGGTTAACCAATTAACTGGTATTCATTCAAATTCAAGTTGAATTCTGATTGGTTAAAGTTTTTCAGGCATCATAGCTTTCCAGTGCCATAGAAATTGCCTGAAAAGAAAGCTCCAAATTAGCAGTAGACCTCTAGAAGTTAACTGATGACCAATCAACCGGTATCATCCAATGGTTAACCAATTAACTGGTATTCATTCAAATTCATGTTGAATTCTGATTGGTTAAAATTTTTCAGGCATCATAACTTCCCAGTACCATAGAAGTTGCCTAAAACAAAGCTCAAAATGAACAATAGACTTCTAGCAGATAGAAATAGGTGGTAAAAGGCTCATGCTGATAAACTACATTTCTTGTGCCATTATACACATCACTGTCATATGTCAAATGAGATTATTGATTAAAACCCACATTTTAGTCTTTAATGCAAGTGTACAAATGATCAAAAGTATAAGTATAACATAGATGCAAAAACTCCTAGCACATAAAAAGTGGCACCTATGCAACTCAAGCCATGAGAGCTTTCTATATAAAAGCATAACGCCATCTCAACACACCATTCAATTATGCATACAGTAAGGAAGGGGATTCTTATTTGTACAAATGGTACTTCAAACTTGGAACGAGAATGAAGAAATTAACGATACTTCTTTATCTTTTGAGTTGTTCTGCCGGATCGGTCGCTCAAGATCTTTGGTCTCTACCCGGA